AGCAGCCTCTTTAGAGTCAAAGACAAGACTATGCTCACAACCATGTATCATACCATAAGTAACAATGAGGACTCAGGAAAAAAGTGTGTACAGCTCTACCCAGACCATCTGCATACTCAGAAAACACGGTCAATGTGTGTGCTCTGGTGTCTGTGAATGTCAGTAAGGCAGCCTTATTTGCAGATAAACTCCCTAGTACAGGTATCTGACTGAGTTCCTTGCGTCGTATCTGGACATGGGGCTAGACCCACTGTTTATAGTCTGTGCATTGGTAAAGAAAAAAATAAGAAGGTGTTTAATTAACATTATTTCTATGACATCCTCAGTTCCATAATTTTCACTTCTCAATTATTTTCCTTGCATGGCTTTGGTGTGTAACCTTGAAATTCACACACAACTAGAAATAGGCATTCTCTGAACTAAAAAATGGAAAGTTCAATGAACTTAAACAAGTTAGGAGATCCTTATCAGACTACATTGACAAATAACAACATAAGACCTTGAAATGTTTGACAAACAGGAAGTTGTCAAAGGTTAAAAATTATATCTGAGCCTATAGCTTTCTTCCAGGTTTTTCCAAACAATCTTTGGTTTCTGCCAGTGCTTTCTTGGATGTGGTGGACATGTCAAACACCCTGGATAAATGGTGACAAGCCTTAACCCATAACAGTGACAAATAACTTACTCTGATCCAGAGCTTGGGGCCAGATTCTGAACAGATGCCGGGGGCTAGCGCTTTACAAGGGAAGCCAGCTCTGTTTTCACATCTTTCTGAGAAACATGTCCACACTTCTAATTGCTTTTGATGTTACATGTAAGAGATCAATTTCAATTGTCCCCAAGTTACTGTACATATTTTATAAATGACTCTGTGGTTGTTTTTTTTTTTGGACACTGGAAACCATAATAGACGACACTTTGTATGTAGGGACAAAGAAAAGAGCTGTCGTGTGGGGTCCCTGCTACAACAAAGACGATCAGATGGAACTTTAATAACACTCGGGCTTTAATGCTTACTTTTTATTTCATGAAAGTAGAAAATATTTTCTATATCCTTATTGCTTTTATTAAAAGTATAATTGGAATGAGATATACTGGGAGACTATCATATATATTATATATGTATATATATATATCCATGCCATACTGTCTAGGTGTGTGTTGGAAAGAAATGTGCTGAATAAGAATGAATCAATTCTTATCCAAGGATGAAATTGAGTTTTCTGCCATAGTGAATAGTGAAATGAGGGCCCTTGCTATCAACATTCACATAGAAGTTATTAATAAAATGGGATTAACATTAAATGCCTTCCTGGGAAGAGTGGAGTGGGAGAAGGAGGAGAGGCTGGTTAATGGGCACAAATATCTAGTCAGACAGAAAGAATAAGTTCTAGTGTTTGATAGCAGAGGAGAGTGACTTTGGCTAACAATAACTTATGGTATATTTCAAAATAGCTAGAAAAGACAACATGGAATGTTCCCAACTCAAAGAAATGATAAACGTTTGAGGTGATGGATATCCTAAACACCCTGATTTGATCATGATACATAGTATGCATGTATCAAAATATCACATGCAACTGATAAATATGTATAATTATTATTTATCAATTAAACTTTTAAATGGGAGAAGCCAGAGGCCGGGGCGGCGGTGGCAGCGGCGCGGGGGCGGCGGTGTGAGAGTGAGCTGTGAGTTAGCCCCTGCGCCGTGGTGAGAGGCCGGGGCTGCCTTGGGCGCCGGCCCTGCCCTGGAGGGGACACGGACTGGGCCCGGAGCGGGTGCAGAGGTCCTGCTGCCTGGCACATCCGACAAGGGCGTGCTCGTCTCCCAGTTCCAGAGGCTGCTTGGCTTCCAGCTCGACCCTGTCAGCTGCGCCTTCTTGCTGGACACGACCAGCTGCAACCACCAGCAGCAACTGCGCCTGCTATGACTTTGAGAGCCCAGACGTCGGTCTGCCCTCTGTGTCCTTGGTTGAAGATGTCACCATAGGAGAAGGGGTGTCAGTACCTCCTGATACTCAGTTCATAAAAACATGGTGGGTCCAGAATTCTAGGGCAGAGGCCTGGCCTCCAGGGCTTTGTCTTAAATATGTCGGGGGAGACCAATTTGGACATGTGAACACGGTGATGGTGAGATCGCCAGAGCCCCAAGAGGTCGCAGATGCCAGCCTCCGGACGTGCAGCCCTGCAGAGCAGGAATGTGTCAGGGTCGAGGCGGGCATGCACTGCTGCAGCACTCTGCTACGGAGACGTCACCCGTGAGACTCTCAGTGTGCACGTGGGTGGACTTTTTTTTTTTTTTTTTTTTGAGACAGAGTCTCACTTTGTTGTCCAGGCTAGAGTGAGTGCCGTGGCGTCAGCCTAGCTCACAGCAACCTCAAACTCCTGGGCTCGAGTGATCCTTCTGCCTCAGCCTCCCGAGTAGCTGGGACTACAGGCATGCGCCATCATGCCCGGCTAATTTTTTTAATATATATATCAGTTGGCCAATTAATTTCTTTCTATTTAGAGACGGGGTCTCCCTCTTGCTCAGGCTGGTTTTGAACTCCTGACCTTGAGCAATCCGCCTGCCTCAGCCTCCCAAGAGCTAGGATTACAGGCGTGAGCCACAGCGCCCGGCCCACGTGGGTGGACTTTTAGCAGTAATGCGGCAGCTGTCATCTTTTGAAACGGAGTTCAACACACAGCCACATCGCAAGGTAGAAGGAAACTTCAACCCATTTGCCTCTCCCCAAAAGAAGCAACAATCAGATGAAAACAACTTAAAAGACCCTGGGGGTTCCAGGTTCCACTTGATCAGCAAAAACACATGGGCTCCTGCTCCTGACCACACCGAGCCAGATCAGAATAGCCTCTCACAGAATCTGTCAATCTGCCCCAGCAGTCACGCAAATGACTCATCAGTAGTGACTTACAGTAAGGTAGGTGCCCTCAGAGAAGAGGAGAGGGGCAGGTGGTGGCTTTGGGATTTGTGATACCTTTCATGTCAAACTAGAACCCTAACACTGCCACTCCCCAGGGGGTTTTTTAAGACTGCTTAGCTCTCCTGCCAACAACAACGCAAAAGCCTACCCCTTCTCCCCCCCCCCACCCAGTCTTCATGTCCCGTGGATGTTGCTGTATCCACATTTATAATTTACTCCTGTCTCTCTGCTCTGGTTTGGGTATTGAAAGAGAGAAGTTCTTTACCTTTAGTATTTAAAAGAAAAAAAGAATGTCAAAATATCATTAGCCATGCTTCCATTGCAAATGTATACTAAGCTTAGAGCAACAACCACACACATTTGGAAATTGCTCCTACTTTGTTTTTTGGTTTTTGGGGGGGCTTGTTTGTTTTTCTAAGGAAAAAGACAAGCTCAATTATTTATCCTAAATATTGTTGTTGGGCTTTTACTTTATTTACCCTGTTTGCATGTTTTCTTGTTGATGTCCTTTAAGTTTATTATAGCCTATTGACTTCCTCACCCACAACCCAGAGTGGCTCAAGTTATATTTTGACTTTTCAAATGTAGAGAATAAGTGAGAGAATTGTTTATTGATTAACTCAATAAATGATTTTAGATATTCTGATTGTTGTAAGACACTCCTTTAGGTGTTTGATTTATTGATCTGTTTCTCTCCATGCTAGTTGATTAGACACTATCTTCCACATTCAGAAAAAAAATAACTAAATGCTTTTGACAATGGACTATAAAATATGCACACTTGGACGTTTTGTTTATTAAGACACAGCACTTAATAGATTCAAGATTAACTCTCAGGTAAGAAACAGTGCTAGTGGCCCCAGGAATAAAAGAGTACTTTTCTCTTTTGCTTTTAGTATTATTGTCTTCCCTCCCCTAATTTCCCTTTCAAGCTCCCTCTGCTCTTTAACTATTAGAACATTTTTCTTTATTCTTTTGTCTATCCTGTATCTTCTACCACTGGAAAGATGTGTCTCCTCACTGGGCACCAAATGTATGCCGCCCTGTGCAAGATGCAATGGAAAGATACAAACAGCACGTACAAGACTCCCTCCTACGAGCAGCTCAAGGAGTAGCTGGGGAGACAAACTTGCATATAGGAAGTCATGAACACGTAGGACCATAAGGGATTGAAAGCTACTCACCAATCACACAGAAAAGCTGCAGTGGTTGACCACAGGAAGAAGAAGGGGAAAAAACTCACTGAGGGTTCATGATGTAAGGCTGATGGCTGGGAAGTAACTGTAGAAAACCCGGCCAACACAGCGAGTGTCCAGGAGAGGCTGAACTAAACCTCTAAGGCTAAGAGTCAATTTTGCAACGACAGCTCGTTTACACACAAGCAGTCTGGGCAGACAAGGCAGTGGGCGGCAGCTCCTGAAAACAAGCTCTTAACAAAGGTGGGATTGTCACCTCCTGGGGATGGACAGCCTGGCTCTGGCTCTTCAGCACCTGTGCCCACAAACGACAGCACTCTCAGTTGGGTATCTGCTGCTGAGAAGAAACAAAGAACTGTATATATGACTCACAAACTCAGAAGTAATGCAGGGATTGTTACTGAACCAAACGGGGGTCTGCCCACCCCGGCCAGCAGAGCCAGGCGCTGAAGCCAAGAGTTGCCACAGGAGAAAGGGGCATCTTCCCCGCGTGGCCCACGCCGGGAGCCCCGTACCTGACGCCTAAGCCCAGCATGCGGGTTTACGAGCCAGGGTTTTCAAAGGCAGGGATGTGTGTCAGACAGGCAAAGTAGCACATCAACACATGAAGGTTATACATTGGCCTGACCCAAAAAGGGTTCTTGGTTTCGTGGAAAGGAATGTTACAATTAGTCTGGCTCTCTCCAGGCCCTTCTGGGAGAAATTTAGAACGAAGAACAGTGGTCAGAGTTCAATTCTCCAGTTCCCCATTATTTACATTTTCCATTCAGTGGGGCTTTCTGGAAAACAACTCAAGACATATGTGAAGAGGCCATCCTTTCATTTCCACAGGGAAACAAAACACCGTGCAACTCGGGCTTGGGGGGCACCATTACTCCCACTCACTTTTCAGGCAGTTCCCCCGAAGGGACTCACATAGTCTTTTATTTCCAGTTTGGAGGACCCAGCAGGCCCTAAAGAGGGGTCTCTGCTCCATCTCAGGATCTGTGACTGGGCCTGAATCAGGCAGGGCTGGCCACGAGAGCCCGGCCAAACACTTCCGGGTCATTTGAAGCTGCAAGTTCTTTCATGCCATTTACTGCCTGTCAGAGAAAATGCTGGGCCACGTTTGGTCACGTCTACGTGAGGATCTGGCCTTGACTCAGCCTCAGGGGACGGATGGGCTACTCTGATGGTGGCTTTAGATGGCACCTTTGGAATCGTGTCTTTGCATTGTGGGTTGCGTTCACAAAAGCCTGTTGATGAGATAAGGTAAAAATTTCTAATAGTTAAGAGGACATCAGGAAATAACAGCAGACAAATAGCCAAGGTCTTGGGAAACACAGGGACTAAGGGAAAAGAAACAAGAGTGTGGCCCCGATGAACAGTTAAACCTTAGATAATAAACAAAAGAAAAATATGATCATTTAAGAATTTTTAACAATTCACTGCTATAAATTAGTGGGATCAGCCAGGAGCAGTGGCTCATCCCTGTAACCTAGCACTTTTGGAAGCTGAGGCAGGAGGATCACTTGAGGCCAGGAGTTTGAGACCAACCTGAGAAACATAGCCAAACCCTGTCACTACAGAGAAATATTGTAAAAATTCTCTGGGTGTTATGGCGCACGCCTGTAGTCCAGCTACTTAGGAGGTTGAGGTGGGAGGATGGGTTGAGCCCCGGAGTTTGAGGATGCTGTGAGCTGTGATGGTGCCATGACACTCCAGCTTGGGCGACAGCAAGACTCTGCTTCTAAATAAATGAATGAATAAATAAATACGCAAGTAAATTAGTGGGATCAGACTGAAGATGACAGATGTTCACATATATACAATAGCACAGAGATGGAGCTATAAAAACATGTTAGCTCTTAAATTCTTCAAGTTGAGAACGGGACACCAGTGAAATTGTCTTCATGGCAACACGGATTTGAAATGCTAAAAATTCACCCAAACAATTATTTTCTTTACTCACGCACATGCCTAGATTGCTGCCTTTCCCACTCGGTTGATGACTAGCTCTTTGTCTCAAGTGTCCTTGACACACAGCCTTTGTTGAGATCCCTGAGGCGTGGGGTGGGGGGTGGGAGGCTGCGAAGGGAATGCAGAGTGGTTTAGAAGTTAGGACAGCTCTTTTTTTTTTTTTTTGAGACAGAATCTTGCTTTGTTGCCCAGGGTAGAGTGAGTGCCGTGGTGTCGGCCTAGCTCACAGCAACCTCAAACTCCTGGACTCAAGTGATCCTCCTGCCTCAGCCTCCAAAGTAGCTGGGACTACAGGCATGCGCCACCATGCCCGGCTGATTTTTTCTATATATTTTTAGTTGTCCAATTCATTTCTTTCTATTTATAGTAGAGACGGGTCTCGCTCTTGCTCAGGCTGGTTTCGAAATCCTGATCTCGAGCAATCTGCCCGCCTCAGCCTCCCAGAGTGCCGGGATTACAGGCATGAGCCACCGTGTCCGGCCCAGGACAGTTCTTAACTAAAAATTTTTTTTGTTAGAGTCCAGGACACGTCTCTAATTATGGAGCCCCTCCCCAAGCACAGTTTTCAGGAAGCTCCTGTGCTCCTTCCTCCTGAGCAACTGTGTCAGGCCAGGCTGTCACTAAGCATTCCTGCCGCCCTTGTCAGGCCAGGCTGTCACTAAGCATTCCTGCCGCCCTTGTCAGGCCAGGCTGTCACTAAGCATTCCTGCCACCCAAGGCGTTGGGTGCTGACGCTAATTCCCTAGCCGGCTCAATGTTTGAAACGTGATCAAAGAGGGGGAAAAGAAAAAGAAATAAAAAGGTGTCGTCACAACATAGATTTCATCAATGACTAACAAGAGAAAATAACGGTACTGGATTAGTCGGGATTCTGGTGGGAGGGATAGATCCCAACTCACACCAGCTAAAGCAGAAAAGGGGAAAGTAGTCAAGGACACTGGTGTCTTGTGGAGCCCAAGAGAGAAATCTCAGGGAGGAACGGACCCAGGCTCTCAAGTCCTTCTGCGGCTCTGCTAGCTGGACACGTGCTCCCTACCTTTCCCTCCTTAGCCCACCAGGCCCTGAATCCTGCCTAATCCTGACCATGTTACTGCTCCAAGCCCAGAGGTTCCCAACAGAGATGAAACTAGTCTTTTCTGTTTTTAGAGACAGGGTCTCATTCTGTCACCCGAGCTAGAGTGCAGTGGTGTCATCATAGCTCACTGCAACCTCAAACTCCTGGGCCCAAGCTATCCTCCTGCCCCAGCCTCCCAAGTAGCTGGGACTGCAGGTGTGTGCCATGATGCCCAGCATATTTTTCTATTTTTGGTTGAGACAGGGTCTCCCTCTTGCTCACGCTGGTCTCAAACTCCTGGCTTCAAGTGATCCTCCCACCTTGGCCTCCCAAATTGCTAGGATTACAGGTGTGAGCCACCACACCCAGCCATATTAATCTTTTAAACTCCTCTCCACAGGGCTGGGAATAGCCAGTCCTTGCATCTAGTAGGGGCTTAATAAGTTTGTACCAAATGGAACCAAACAGATGGACTTCCAGACCCCGGACACCGCACACAAATCATGTCACGGCTGACAGGCCTGGAACTGCCACAAAGAGCTTATTGTGTCCATTATCTTAAATCAAACAAGGAGGCAGGTATCACAGCATCTAATCCCATCTTTCTAGGAAGAAAAAGAGGTAAACTAATGGCCCAAAGCAACATTGAGAAGACACGTATGCATGTGGCCTTCTTGTCAAATGTTCTCATCCGTGACGAATGTCTCAGCACCGCGCTCCGCCCCGCGCCCCACGCGGCCAGCTTGCCGCCTCCAGGCTCCATTTGATCCCAGCTCCGCTAGGAGCCACCTCCCTCTTTGTCAGACTTCAAAGGATAGCATGTAGGAAAAAGCATCTATTTTTTTTTTAAGTTCTTCCTTTGAAATTTGTTTTTCTGTGATGTCCAAGAGTTTCTAGTGGAAAACAGTTAAATACAACAGTCCAGTTCCAGCCTTCAAAATCCATCCGATCACCTGGACCGCAAGCGCCGTCACCCCCACGGCCAGAGCGGCACGTCGTCCTCTCCTTCCCGTGACCGGCCACAAACAGATCAGACGGTCAGACGTGGCCCCACACGCTTTACAGACTAACAGAAGGCAGCCGACCACTCTTCCCCATCGGGAGGGGACGGGCGGCTCTCCCCCCACGAGGACCGCGCAGGGGCTCACGCCCACCCGGAGCCATAGGCCCTGTGCTGGAGGCAGGAACTGTGGCTCCCCCGAAGCCAGTGTCCCCAAAGACGCCTTTCCCCTGGCACTGCAGGCCGGTGGCTTAGGTACTGCTGGCTCGGGGCCCCTGTCACCAAATGCCTCACCCAGGGAGGTGGCACCCAGTGGTGGATGGAAAAGCCACCTCTTTGCTCCTGGCAACCTTTGCCAGAGCAGTAGGCTTTGTCTTTATGTCTAACAACTCACGTTAAATTGCTTTTTGTCTCTAAGACAGGACTTCCAACATTATTTCCTTTTAGATATTAAGTAAACACAGTATAAACAGAACTGCAGAGAAGGGACAGTTGTCATTTATGTTTTAATTTGGTGGAGTATTGTTGTTTTTCTTTGGCTATTTAGAAAAGAACAAAAAGAAAGCAGTTTCCTGATCCATTTGGTAACAGATCTGGGCTTCTTTTCTTCCTCCTAGTCCACAGGATTGAATTTAAGGGGCAAAAGACTAGGTTTAAATAGAAAATAATGCATTGGCAAAAGACAAAATGAGACTTCATTTCTTAAAAAAAATGAAACCTGAAAACTTAGCTTGAAAGAGTTTCCATGTGTAAAGCTGCCTGAGGAAGTTTATTACATTTTTATTTTTGTTTGGGGAAAAACAATTCAGGTTTCTCTTCAGAATGTGAATGTTGACACCATTATTAGTTGGACTTTGAATTCTCTCTCACCATCAACAAGCAGTTTTGTCTTCTATATAGCTATAACGTATTTACATACAGAAGATTTTTTTGGAGGCCTTTGCTTACCAAGCATGGCTTAGGAGTACACTGTATTTCTGAAATCCTCTGTCTTGCTTTTAAGAACAATGTAAAAAAGCTACAACAATGGATGTGCAAAAGATTCCAAGCTTCTAGAAAAAAGGATCATCGTGGACACAGCTGAGGTAAGAAAAAGGACTCTCTACGAGAGCGGTTATTTCATAGCATTTTATATCAAAATTATTCAAAGAGAATCACTATCAGACATCACACAGATCCGGGGTTTTCTTTGTGAACATTTACCAGCCTAGTCTGTAACTGCTGTGGAGTCATTTGTCTGTACCTGACCCAACAATACCCATCTTTGAAATTCCCAAAGACCCAAATAAAATGCTCCTCCACTCCGTCCTTCCAACGCACCTTTGTCCTCCAGACGCACCCACCACACATGCACGGGTGCGACCCTCGAATCCCTTCTGTGAACTGTCGATCCCACTCTGTCTCATATTATAATCCTTTGTCACCTCGTAGACTATTTGCTCTTTGAGGGCAGGGACTATGTCTTCACTCTTTTGTTTTGTATCTTCCACTATACCTACCATTGTGGCTGGCACATCAAAATAGAAATTAAATACCTGCTGAATGGAGCTGAGTTGAATGTCTCCACAAAATTCCATTATCTCCATAGTGGTCTTTAGTAGTTACGATTTTCACTCTAGAATTATTGCAAAAAGGAGGAAGGTTCAGGAGAAACATAGTGAGGTGCATGATGTTTGCCTTTGTTTTCTTCCTGCCATTGTTTATAAACACCCTCCTCAGGTGCCTGCTTTTGTGGGACCCCCACCTTGGCACCTCACTGTTTGCCCACAGCCATCAGAGCCCAAGATGCTTATGCTCATTTATTTGTTTCAGATTTCTTTTATTTTGACTTTTTTATTACATAATGAATATATGCTCATTCAAGAAAAAGTTAGAAATGCAAATAAGCAAAATAAAAGTCATCTGTAAACCTACTCCTTAGGTAGGATAACATGGCACATTCTTTATATTCTTTGTATTTATAAATAGAATGAGTTCTGTTTGCTTGTTTTCTAGAAGGAAGGTGTCAGATAACCTCTGTACAGGGAGAGACAAACACTCACCCCAGCGCAGATCTTTGACTTGTGACTGGGACTTCTGTTGCTCTCTTAGCTTTGCACTGATCAGTTAAGGCAGGAACTCTTGGTCCTGAATTCAGAAGTGGTTCTCTTCTTTGATTTCACAAAGCCGACCGTCCCTCCCAAACTGCTTTCCTTTGATAAGGGCAGGCAGGATTTGGCGGGAGCGGCGCACCTGCTCGCCCGCGCGGTGCGGGTGCCCTGGGAGCCGTGGCGAGGGAGGAGCTCGTTAGCCACTTGGGTGCGCGCCCACCGCCCGCCGCGCTCACAGTCCCCGCGTCAGTCCCCGAGTCAGTCCCCGCTCACAGTCCCCGCGACAGTCCCCGCGTCAGTCCCCGCGACAGTCCCCGCGTCAGTCCCCGCTCACAGTCCCCGCGACAGTCCCCGCGTCAGTCCCCGCGACAGTCCCCGCGACAGTCCCCGCGACAGTCCCCGTGACAGTCCCCGCAACAGCGACAGTCCCTGCAACAGCGACAGTCCGTGCGGCAGTCCGCGCGGCAGTCCCCGCAACAGCGACAGTCCCCGCGACAGTCCCCGCGACAGCGACAGTCGGCGCGACAGTCCCCGCGACAGCGACAGTCCCCACGACAGTCCCCGTGACAGTCCCCGCAACAGCGACAGTCCCCGCAACAGCGACAGTCCCCGCGACAGTCCCCGTGACAGTCCCCGCGACAGTCCCCGTGACAGTCCCCGCAACAGCGACAGTCCCTGCAACAGCGACAGTCCCCGCGACAGTCCCCGCAACAGCGACAGTCCCCGCAACAGCGACAGTCCCCGCAACAGCGACAGTCCCCGCGACAGTCCCCGCGACAGTCCGCGCTGCGCAGACCACGAGTCCGGTCTGCCGTCTGAGACGAGGGAAGCTTGACCGCGCTGGACGCGGTTGTCCCTCACAGGCAGCTTTGCTTGTCCTGTGAATCAGAACAGGCAACATACGCATACATGTTTCCATCACGCTATTTTCAAATGTTCACGATGTAATGCTGATAAATGAAACATCAGAACAGTCGTATCGCGGCCGCCGGCCGCAGTGGCGGAGCAGGACTGGGGGCGCCCTCGCGGCGCAGCGCCCGGCAGACGTCCGCACCCGCCAGGGCAGCCCAGCAATGGCAGACAGCCGTTCTCTTTTATTTTTTTATTATTTTATTATTTTATTATTTTATTTTATTTTATTTTATTTTATTTATTTTATATTTTATTTTATTTTATTTTTTATATTTTGTAGAGACAGAATCTTGATATGTTGCCCAGGCTGATCTCAAACTCCTGGCCTTGGGCGAGCCTCTTGCCTTGGCCTCCCAAAGTGCCCGACTGCCGCCGCGCGCTCCCGTGGCTGGCCGTCCAGGACGGCCATTTCCGCCAGAGTGTGGCGCGCCAGCTTCAGCAGTGGCACCGCGAGGACACAGAGAGCGGCAAGGCGGGAGACGCGGAGAAGCTGCGAGACTCCAGGTCCCCTTCTGCCTGGCGTGGATGCACAGTGTGCGTGCGTGTGTGCGTGTGCGTGCGTGTGCGTGTGCGTGTGTGTGTGCGTGTGCGTGCGTGTGCGTGTGTAGAAAAGTGCCTGGTACTTGGTAAGTTGGAAACACTTGAACATTTGGGAGCGGGAACAGCCCCTAAGATGTTCTTAGTCTGCCTGGAAGAGGAGCGTGTAGGTGCTCAACAATCAGCTATCTAAAAAGACAAGATCTTATTTGTGCCCCAAAGTAGCACAAAAGCGAGCTGGGCCATGTTGGTTGTGCGTGCAGATGCGTGCGATTCTGGCTGAGGGCAGCGTGTTAACTGGTGCCCACTGCTTTGGTTCAGGGAACTTCAAGCATGGATGGCAGAGCAAAGGAGAGATGTTTCTACTGTGTGTCTCCCAAAGTAAGGCAGAGTCTTCTATTTATTTTTCCTCAAGAAGACACCCTAGGGCTTATTTTCAGGGGATGTGCTATTCTTTTTAAGTACGGTACAACCATCTACGTTCATTCAAATATAGTGAAGTCGTCTTCTTCTGGAACATCATCCTCACTCTCCAAACCCCGAATCCCATCCTGAATTTCTTGCAACTCTATTTCCTTTAAAACCATTGGTCCCAGTCTCTCCTGTGGAGCACGAGAGCTGTCATGGGCTGATGCGAAGGGCTGCTCGTCTTCTTTCCTCTCCGCGACGACACGCATGGGTTGTGTAGATGCGTAGACGCGCTGCGTAGCCACGCCCATCACTAGGGCTTATTTTCGGGGTGGGGCTTCTATTGTGCAAATGCTTAGATATCCTGCTGGGGCTTATTTTATGGGTAGAGTTTATTTTCGGGGAATCACGGTAAGTGAAATGGCCTCTCTGAACTATCTCTTAAATATCCAACGATTTCACTGATGGAAAAGGTCCAGCCAGGTCAGCTCCAGCCCGTCTCCTAATTGGTTGGGTAGAATCAGGAGAAAAGCCTACAAAAGGATATGGGCAGAGCAAGGAGAATTACTGAGAAAAGGAAACTTCTAGAGTCAGTTAAGTTCTGAAAGTTCCCCAAAACTGTGAAGCCTCTAAGTCTTCCCAGCACACCTAGCTCCCCACCCTCTGCCCTCTGCCACTGGCTAACAGTTGTAACCTTGTCCAAGTCACAAGTTTTCATTTGCTTTTATTTTTCATTTTTGCTAAAATTTTTTAAAAATTTTAAATGACAGCCTTCAAATATAAAAAGAAGTATTCATAGAAAAGAGGTATTATTGGCTTCCTGCTCCCATCATTCAGCTTCAACAATTATCAGTGAGGTTCCATCTGTGCCACCATCCACTCCAACAATTATTTTGAAGCCAATCCCAGAAATCTCTCTCTCTCTCTCTCTCTCTCTCTCACACACACACACACACTCCTATACCTTAAAAAGCAAGATCCTTTTAGATATAAATGTAATACTACTATCACATAAAAAATTACCAATAATCTCTTATTATCAAATATTTACTCAAAGTTCAGCTTTTCCTAATTGTCTTATAATTTTTTTATAATAGCATCAGGATTTTACCTTTTTTGGTTTTTGTTTTTTTTTCACACAGGGTCTTGCTCTGTCACCCCAGCTAGAGTGCAGTGGCATCAGCCTAGCTCACAATAACCTGAAACTCCCGGGCTCAAGTGATCCTTCTGCCTCAGCCTTTATAGTAACTGGGACTACAGGTGCACACCAGCACCCCCAGCTAATTTTTCTATTTTCAGTAGAGACTGGGTCTCGCTCTTGCTCAGGCTGGTCTTGAACTCCTGACCTCAAGCAATCCTCCCACCTCAACCTCTCAAAGTGCCTCGGTTTTATCTTATTGATATTGTATAGGAATATTTTGTTTTTAATCTTTAAAAATCTATCAATAAGTGTTCATACACTGATTCCTTACTGTGTACTCAGCAAGGTTCTACACACACAGAGAAGCTAAGTGTCTATGCTGGAGAGTGGTGAGAAATGGGATCAAGTCAGCTGGGTGTGGCCAGACCATGGAGGATATTAAAAAACACAGCAGAGGAGTTTCAGCTTGATTTGGTAGAGAATGGAGACTCTTTGAGGATTTCTGAGCTTTGGGGAGACAAGATAAACTTCAGCCTCTCCAGTGAATGACCACGTGACAGTGGCCATGTCCTTCACCTCACACAATGCCTGACTCCTTGAATGGTTGAAGGGTCAAGTGAAGGGTTGAAACGAGCGTTCTGGACACATTCCAGCTGTGGTGATGAGAGTATAAACATTGTATTCAGTTTACAGAGACTTGCCTTTGTAGTCAACTGATTATAACACAGGCACGACAAAGCAATGGATACATGTATGCAGACGTTTAAAACTGTATTTCAGTGCTCAATAAGAGTTTTTGATTAAAGGGTTTAAAATGATGAAACAACCATATGCATAGTATAGACCAAGAGCATTTTTGATCGCCAGGAGAAAAAAAGTGAAAAAAAGTTAACTCTGAAGACTTAGAAAATAGGAGCTCTTCTGACATTTTCTAAATATTCATTTAAGTTTTTTAAATGTTTAAGTCTTAACCAATAGTATTAGAGCTAAGAATACGGACAAAGAGTATATAAAGGAAATCTAACTGTAGTTATTTTTAACTAAGTGGATAATGAAATGTACCTAAGACGTCATTAGAAGTCAAGTTTTTGCAAAGAAATAAAAATTGAGCTACAGTTGGCAGGAACATATGTGGTAGAATTTTGAAACACTTGTAATCTATGACTCAGTACCTCTGGAATGTTGGAGAAAAAAGAACGGCAGTATCAATCCAAGAGGACTTAAAGGCATGTCCCTGTGAGCTGCTCCAAGTCTATTTTAGCAAGTGCACATGTCTCCAAAATGAAAGATACTCTCCAAATGGTCAAATAGCATCTGGATCACACAGGGTTTTGTGTTTTTTAAAAAGTCTTTAAAAATCATTCAAAATCAACTATACTCTCCAAAAACTTCAGCAGAAAATAAAGAGCGAAAGGAGTCTAAGGAAAGGACTATATTGAGATTGGAGTTTATCATTATAAATATTGCCATTATCAGTCCTTAGTATTATTATATGAAATTGATGAATGTTTCATAAAAATACATGGATTCTGATCACTTAAAAAGCAGAAAACAGCATACAGGCCAGGCGTAGTGGTGCATGCCTGTAATCCCAGTACTTTGGGAGGCCAAGGCAGGAGGATGGCTTGAGGTCAGGAGTTTGAGACCAACCTGAGCAACATAGCAAGACCCCATCTCTACAAAAAAAATTTTAAAGAATTTGAAAAAATAATTTAAAAAATAAAATAGCATACAGACTATTTTTGAAGTTAATATAAGAATTTGTCTTATTTGATGGTTTGCCAGAAGGACTCACAAGACTCAACCCTGGTGATACTCAGGGTTGAGATTTATTACAGCAAAGGACACTGAACGAAAGCAAGAGGAAATAGTCGTGCATTCAGAGCAGTCCTGAGAGGCCCAACACAGGCTTCTGGTTTCATTCCTCATTCAAAGTGACACAAGAGTGCTTTATCTCTGGCAGATCTATCAGGGTTATTTGTGGAATATGTCCGCACAGAGAAGTCTGTTTTTCTCAGAATCTGAGGCCTTTGTAAGGGGTGGGTCACATAGGCACATCCTGCTAACAGCCAGCCGTGACAACCAAAACTCAAGATCCCAATAAGGAATCCAGG